TGGCAGAAACCAGTACAATTTTGTAAAGCACTTATCTTCCAATCAAAAATAAATAAAATTAAAAAATAAAAAGACTTGTCAAACAAAGTAAAATCTTGAAAATTAAATAGAAAAATACATTCCCCAGGTCCAGTGAAAGCAGACTTTGTAATACACGAAACTGTGATAAACTAAGAGAAGTGGGTGGGAGAATGGTGATTCAGTTTTAGAAACGTTGAGCTTACACGATCCAGGAGACAGTCACGGGGAGACACACTGGCGGCAGGCCCAGGGCTGGAGCCCAGAAGGGAGGTCAGGGCTGGCCGTGGGCTCTGAGGGGCCCGGGAGACGGGCCAGGGCTGGCCGTGGGCTCTGAGGGGCCCGGGAGACGGGCCAGGGCTGGCCGTGGGCTCTGAGGGGCCCGGGAGACGGGCCAGGGCTGGCTGTGGGCTCTGAGGGGCCCGGGAGACGGGCCAGGGCTGGCCGTGGGCTCTGAGGGGCCCGGGAGACGGGCCAGGGCTGGCCGTGGGCTCTGAGGGGCCCGGGAGACGGGCCAGGGCTGGCCGTGGGCTCTGAGGAAGCCCCAGCATACAGGGAGCGAGCGCAGCATAGAGACAGAACACCCAGGAGTGACCATGGGGAGCCCTGCAGGTAGAAGAGAGAAAGCCTGCAGCAGCGAGAGAGAAGGCCAGGCGGGGAGCACGGAGTCGCAGAGGCCAGGCTGAGGCCGCCTCCAGCGCCACACCACTAGGCAGCCTAGTAAGATGAGGACCGGATAATGCCCAAAACGGAGGTCGCACTGGCCGTGGCACGGACAGGTTCAGTCAGCCGGCGGGAGGTGCGAGCCGAGCCGGAGCCGCTTAAGGAGGGAGCGGCAGGCAGGCCTCTCACAGACACTGGCAAAGGAAAACGCAAGACCGGCGCTGGAAGGGAGGACGGGCTTCTGAGCCTGCTTGCTGTTTGCCACCCAGTCCATCCACCCAGTCACCTCTCCCTCTTAAAAGATTTAAGACACGAGAGACGAGGCTTAAATGGTGACAGGGCGCGTCCAAGTGGAAGAAGGTAGAAAAGGAGGAGGGTCAGTAGAGACAAAGATGCACAGCCTCCCTCTGTAAACCGGCAGCCAGGGCGGAAACCCTGCAAAGGAAGCTGCCGCTGCAAGCCAGGGAGGGAGCAGAGGGACGCACAAAAGCAGCTCATTCCAAGAAAGGTGACCCTTCGACATGTCAGGCTGACATGACACCAAAAAGGAAGGCTAGCTAACAAACAGAAATTCCTGGATGGGAATATTGTTGAGGTGTAGAAGGTCCAGGCAGGGAAACCCGCTGAGCAGATGCAGGTGGAATCAGGAGAACACAGGACCGTTAGACCCAGTTTTAATAGGCTCATTCGACTGAGGTTTAGGGGATTCAGAAAAAGAAGGTTCCTCCTTGAGCCCTGAGAATTAAATCTAAAGCCTAGCAGAGTGGTATCATCCTCTTCAGCAAGAGCAAGAGTAAGCTGGTCGTCTGAGGGGAAAGACAGATGCAACTGTAAGGGTTAGTAACATGACAATAACACACAACTGCAAGCCAAAATGCAGCTAGGCTGTGTTCGGTGAATAAGCAAGAATCCATGAATTACTTCTCCACTGCAGGCTGAATCCCATTATTTCATTTTTGGTCCTAAACAACCAAATGTTCAAACACTGACATCCGGTAAGAATTCCCTTCATTCCCTTGAGGAGAAGCTGTTGACATGTCCAGCAAAAACCACAGCCTCCCTTGTAAAAAGTGACACAGATGATTTAGTTACTCAGCAGCTCTCACTCATTTATATGAAAGCCCAGTAACTCTGATCATGCTTGATTTTTATTTGCTTTTGCTTTGGTTTCTAACAAAAAGGGCCAAAGTCTGTTTCTGCCATCTGCCAAATGACCAGAAACACAGAAGCACATGTCCAGAAACACAGGATTCACTGAGTGATTCTTTCATCGTTTTATCACCAGAACCTAGCCTGAAGACTAGCAGATAGAAGGCTCTCAACAAATACTGATGGAGTGAATGAGTAAATGTACGAATGGTCCCACAGAGAGAGGAAAGGGTGATCACCAGATGGGTCCCCCATCTTCACATGCCAGGACATCTACTGAAGTCAACAGGTCCCTTCTCAGGGTGTTTCTGAATATATGACAGGACACAGCAAACTAACACAAGCACTGAAACCAGAACACAAGGAGACAGTGCGGTGCCGTCGCGAACGTGCCTCTGTGGCCGAGGCTGCGGTCAAGCCTCAGTGTCACTCGGGAGGTCTGGCCGGACCATGCCACCGCAGAACCCGGGCCCCAGCACCTGCAGACCGCTGCTCTCAGAGGAGTGCTGCCCACTCTGGTCTCAGCGCGGGGCAGCGGAGGCCACGGCAGTCCCACGGTGAGCGTCCATCTTCCAGCTGCCTCCTGGCGTCGACGGCGTCCTCGCCCTCCCCCGTGGCCCTCGTCCCCGCATCCACAGCCTGCCTGTTTAGTCTTTGCAGTTCTCCACGAGGGTCAGGAGGGCAAGGCTTCCTTGTGCAATAGTGCAGACACGGGAACTTGGAGGGGAGGTATCTTTTTCTTACACAGATTTTCAATAGATCCTCTTGTGTCCCGCATGCCTGTGATGAGGACTAATCCCTGAGCCTTTCTGGGGTGAGAGGTGCAGATTAGCCTGCTCTGGGGCTTCTCCTTGTCAATGGCTTAGGACTCAGCTGCTCAGGGGTGCTAACTGACGACGACTAGTGTTTCTGCCGTCCACTTCACAGAAGCTGGTTGCTGTTTTCCTCCCACCTTTTTTTCTTCTACAAAACAGGGTTTATTGGGAATCAACAAAGAATTGCAATTTGGGATTCATACCTATCGTGAGCCACAAGAAAAACCTCAGGGAGAGTGTAGAACAGACCGTGTTCATTGGGGGAAAAGGCAGTTTTGAGGGCTACAGCAAACCCAGTGTCCACAGCTTTTCACTGGCTGGGTCACGAGTCTCTCCCTGGCTGAGTGCTTGCTAAGAAAACAGAAGCATCTCCTCCTTCCTCTTGGTCTTTGTTTAAAACTCCCCCTTCTGGCCTCCTAACAGGACTTAATTCAGGTTCTTGGTTTGTTTTTCTTTTTTTCCAAGATTTCCCCCTTTTGAGTCAGACCTTTCTCTGAAAGCACTGCTGATCATCAGGCTCTCCAGTTGCAAAGATCCTCTCTCCCTTCTGCGTGCATGCCTATTCACTCCTTTATTTTTACTTGTAGTAGGGTTTAGTGAGGAAATAACCATGAACATATTTCATCCGTCACATTTTTTAAGTTGCTACTAAAATTTTAAACAAAGAAGAAAAGTTTGAAAAACCAAACTTTGAAGTAAATTCCTCAAAAGTTCATCTGCTTTATAACTATGATTTTCCTATAAAAGACAACTAATATATTGTTATGTCCTCAGGCTCATGAAGGTGGAGACCATCTCCCTTAATCTGTCACTGTATTATCCAATATCTAGCATAGTAGAGATCAAGAAAAAAGTGATTGAACGAGATAGACATGATTTAAAAAAACAACTAGGATCCTTTGTTTTCATACTTTTAGTACTTATCTAATTCACCTAAGACTGTTTTGAAAATATCCTAAAAAGTAAATGATCAGAAATGGATACACCTAATCTAGAATCCAAGAATGTGTTTCACAACAACAAAGTCCTTCACTACAAAAATTTTACTATAGTTGTGTATATTATAACAAAATTTCTTGGACAGAAAAGAACTGGCATTCAAATTTACTTAGTTCTCTTCAAAAATCAGTAGTATAAAACATACTTATAATTTATAACTGCTACATAAATAGTATTTAATTACAACTAAAAATGTATAATTTTAAATGTTATTAAATAAATCTGTGATAATAAACAAGTTTTAATCAATACTGAAAATGCAGAGTCCTCCATATTTATAATCTGTACATCAGTTATTACATTTTAATTTGTATGACAAAAAACCCCAGCAAATTTATTAAAAAGTTAGGGCTAGTAAGTAGATCCTTGCTGTTTTTGTAAAATGAGCTTAAAAGGGCCAGAATGACACGCCCTACTCTGTAGGTGTAAGGAAAACTGTGTGCTTTGTTTTGTAATTCTTTTGTTCTGGCCACACTGCGGGCATGTGGGTCTCAGTTCCCAAAACAGGGATCAAACTGCATCCCCTGCATTGGAAGCAGGGAGTCTTAACAACTGGACCACCAGGAAAGTCCTCGTTTTGTAATTTTTCATTGGCTATTATCTAAGCTACGATTCTTCTAAAAGGCCCAAAGGGTTATTTAAAAATTTCAGTCATATTTTATGGAGAAAGTTAAATGTGTAATTTGGTTTTATAATTCTGATACATCCATAAAAGGGTTACTGTAATTCTAACAGGATGCTTCCATGGTAATTTCAAAGTAAAAACCTTACAGGCACTCATATTGTTAGGTAGGCAGAATAGGGAAAAGGAGTCCAAAATGGCAGTGGCCAAAAGACAAGGAAGGGAAAAGCCTGTGAACACAGAAGAGAGGAAGGTCAAAGAAAGGCCCCAGGAGGGCCGGAGAGAGGGCTTCAGGTAGGACAGGCTCCTGGCTGAGCCCAGTTTGCACAGGGCGGGCCCAGGGGAAGAAAACGTACAGAAGGAGGAGGCAAGTGTGCTGTCCCCCTCCCTTTCTCCCGCGCGCTGGGGCGCTCTTCTCTTTGCGTCTTTGGATCGATGCGCCCTCATGCCTCGAAGATGGACTGGCCTGCTATCTTCTAAATAAAATAGAGCTGTAACATTGGGCTGTGACACTGATCTGTCTAAGAGCTATAACACAGTCTGTCCAAGACCTGAGAGCTACGACCCGCCGAGGGGACGAGACAGAACCGAGGAGCATCAAACTGTTCCTCTGGGCAAACGTGCACAAAGTCCGTGATTTGCTTAGTCCTATCCCATTAAATGCTCCTTTATAGCTAATTTTCATCACTGTTTACATCCAGCTTTACTAACTCAAATTAAAACATAATACTCACTTCGTCAGCCACAAACTCCTTACTCAGACCAAAGTCTGTCAGCATCACGTGGCCGTGAGAATCAAGCAGAATATTCTCAAGCTTAATGTCACGGTATATAATCCCCAACTGCGGAAACAAACAGAGATGCGTTTTAGAACAACACTTCTCAAACGGCGAATCAGGACAGTCCCTATGACGAATCTTGAAAGCAAGGCCAGGAGCGGCACTGCCCTGCTCAGCGCGCTGCGCTGGCTCGCCGCGGGCAGCCCGGGTCGCGGGCAGCCCGGGTCGCGGGCAGCCCGGGTCGCGGGCCTCGGTCTCCGGGCTCCTCCGCTGGCCCGCGGGCCGCTGGCGCCCTGCCCGCGTGGCGCGGGGCACTCCTGCCAGACCAGCCTGTCTGCGGGCTCCTCTGGCGACGGCTCCTTCCCGGGCTACGCTTCGCGATGGGTGTCAGCCTCCTTCCAGAGGGTCTGCAGGCGCTTTCTTAGCCGGTTCACATCCATCGTTTCTGAACAGCTTCAGAAGGCCTTCCTGGCTAACCAGTTCCTGCACTGGCCTTTCTTTTTTTCCCGTAGAGCACCTATAATTACACCGTACTTTTCTAACTATCCCTCCATTTTGTTTTGTGTGTAAGTTTTATAGTGAAACATGTGAGCTATATGACATAAATAAATCTACTCAAGTTATACAAGCAGTGCCTGACAAATATGAATTCCACGTTTCATGATATGTCAACCTGGATTAAATGTTTCTAAACTTTTTATACTGAGCATGAGCAAACTTAAGACTGTGTGCTTTCATCAACACTAACTATATGAAAAAGAAGATTCTTGACACTTTCTTAAAATTAAAATAAAAGATTATACAAGGAAAAACACTAGGCATTTTCTTTCAAGAACGCTTTTCCCCCCATATTGTAAAACATGACTATTTATTGTGAATGCACTACCTGCTGAAGATATATTTGACTGGAAGCCTACAAGCACCTAACAACCAGTATGACTTTTTTTTAAAACAATCTTTGGAAAAGACTTCATGAATAAGTCATTTACCACCTTCTTTACCACATCAGTTCCAAGGAAACGCCCCGTTTCTGTCTCTCCTCAGAAATTCAGTGTTAGTAGACATAGCAAGATTAACATTTCTGGCTTTGTGCTATATTTCTTTGTATTTCTCTTTTTATAAGGTAAGATTAAGAGAAACTGAATGAAGATCTAATCTGTGTATACTTTCCATATCAATTACATTTATATCTGGTATCATCATATTCTCCAGCTTTTTGTTCTGATTACCCTGTTTTAATAATAATGAAAGTTCATCGATTTTCCCTTTAATAAACAGAGTTAACAGTTTTCATACAAATTAAAAACTGAATTTACTAGCTTATCTGTTGGAGCTTTGCATTTTGTATTTATACTTAGATTTATGGTGATTTCCACCATCATTTTTATGTTATAAAAATTACATCGGATTCCTCTAAGCATAAAACAAAGCTTTTCAGCCTATTCCTAGGCCCAATCTGATGCATGTCTAACATATATATATATATATAATTACATGTGTGTGTGTACACATATCCCACAGACATAACTAAGGCATAAGCTCACCTACACACCATGGACTCTCTCAGAGGAACCCGGATGCCTCTGCCCACACTTCCGTTAAGACTGAAGCTCCCACCTGAGGCCCCCCTTGTTTATGGCCCTGCAGCCCTGCGCCCCAGAGCCACTTTCACCTCCCTCCCTTCCTAACACTTTCCTTCACCCCACTTAGGCCTCCTGTTCTGAACCCTGTCTCCCCCTCCCTGCCTGGGTATGTTTCTGTCTGGCCTAGATCCACCCATTTCTTCATCCTGTCCTTCCTGCATCTTCTCATCTTTCCTCACAGCCTTTCCCATCCATGGCTTCCACCTGCAATTCGAATCTCCCTGCCCCTTAAAAATTTCATCTTTTCCCCTCATTTCTCTCCACCCTTTTTTGTGCTGCATAATCAGCTCTTTCATCTCTCTTTATCTGTCATCTAGTTGAGAACACGAACATTTAACAAAGAAAAACAGTGACTTTATGATGCACTCAGATCACCCAAATGCAGTGATTCAGGCCATGCCCCTTGTGGTCTCACACAGTTATGATAAAAAAATACTCTAGTATGTTCTATTTCTTAGGCAACACACAAACCTAATCCACATAAAGATTGTTTGCTTCTACAATAATGTGTCCTCATTAAAAAAAAGTTTTTAGTCAAAATATCTTGGATCAAGATTAGCAGTATCTGAAATGATGGTTTTTAAAAGTTGAAGCTGATTTTACAGAATTCAAACAGCATCACATACATACATGAATACCACTTAAAGTGTTTAGTAACTGAGCTCACAGAGCGGATCGGGGGGCGGGGCGGGGGGTGGAGCAAGAGAGGACCTGGGGCAAAACAAACAGAAAAGAGAGCCAGAGTGGGCAGTGGGATGGCTGGGTCTGTAGGTAAGTGCTTCTTTCAATTATCTCAAGCTAACAGGGAAACATTCCCTGAAGAAATACAGGCAGAGTCTGCAGTGGAGTAAGTCACAATTAAGGAAGTACATATTATGACTTGTGGTTTCATCTTAAAGGTTACTTTAAGAATAATTTTTATTTAAATTCTAATGATACTGTGTAATAAGCACTAGGATTTCTCACGAACAAAACCAAAAAAAAAAAAGTGCTCATGTTGTACTTTTTTATCTGCACCCTGGGAACTGCAAAAGGAAAGAAAGACTTTTAAAGAGGGAAGGACGAAACTGGAAATGTGCCTGTGGTCTGTAAAGTCCGCCTCCACCATCGCCACTAAGACAGTGGCCCGCCAGCACACTCGCTCTCTTCATCCCACCATCACCTCAGTGAGCAGACTTCTCGAAAGACAAACCCCGAAACTGAAGGGTCTTACCTTGTGCAGGTGTTCGAGGGCAAGCACGATCTCGCCGGCATAGATCTGCACCTCGTGCTCTGTGAAACGCTCTCTCTGAGAAAGATGAGTAAAAAGCTCTCCACCATTTATATAATCTAAAAACGAAATATATTTTTTCTGTCTTTGACTTATATTCACAAACTAAAGGAAGTAAATCCTTCTAACCACTTTGGATTAACCATAAGGCACTAATTTTAATATATTATTTTGGCAGAATTCTTAGTATATAGTTTCATATAGAAAATATTACTAAATTCATATAAATACAGTTTTATAAGTTAATGACTACCCTAAAATGCAATCAAATGAGTTAGCATAGAATATTGCTTTTAAAACTATATGAAATCTGCATATATTTAAACAATTTTCCCAGATGCAGCATATCAGAAACCTATGCCATCACCATACAATTCCTAACTTGCTGTCGAGTACCAAATCACCAACCACTACAGTAACTGAAATACAACAAGCAGAGTGAAACAAGGCAAACAGAAACCCCAGCCACTGCTTTGCAGTAACGGCCACTCACTTTTTTTTAAGCAGAGTCCCTATTTTTCAGAATTGACTTATGGAGAGTCCTTCCAAAAGTGTGTATTAAGTAGCAGGTAACCTTCTTAAGAATTGATGCTTTTGAACTGTGGTGTTGAAGAAGACTCTTGTGGTGTTGGAGAAGTCCCTTGGACTGCAAGGAGATCCAACCAGTCCATCCTAAAGGAAATCACTCCTGGGTGTTCACTGGAAGGACTGATGTTGAAGCTGAAGCTCCAATACTTTGGACACCTCATGTGAAGAGTTGACTCATTGGAAAAGACCCTGATGCTGGGAGGGATTGTGGGAAAGAGGAGAAGGAGACGACAGAGGATGAGATGGCTGGATGGCATCACCGACTCGATGGACATGGGTTTGAGTAAACTCCGGGAGTTGGTGATGGACAGGGAGGCCTGGCATGCTGCGGTTCATGGGGTCACAGAGGGTCGGACACGACTGAGTGACTGAACTGAACTGAACTGAACCTTCTTATTGCACCATTTAACTCAAAAGCAAAAGCAGGAGAACACAGCTAGTCAAAACACCTGAAATGAAACGATGCCCATTTCCCTTTCAATTTGCCCTTTTTATCCCATGAGGAATAATGAAATAAGAGACAAATAAGCTACAGTGAAAAATAAATAAGGAGCTGAATAATAATAAGCCACAACAGAGTTCATAATCGGCTCTAAGAAGACACTGATAAACTGCTAATAGTTTGATCAGAAACTAACGGCTACTCCCCGAGATACCACTTGTGTGTGAGAAGCAGTGCTCCCCTAGAACAGCTGCAGGCGTGGATTACAGACGCTGAAGAGACATGGCTGAGAAAGCACACGGCCCAGGGGTGCTCACTGGTCAAGTTTACCTCAATCTGACAAAAGACCAAAGGAAAATCTTCACAAACACAAATTTTTACCTTGCCCATTTAACTTTAAATTCCAAACAGCAGATTCCACAGAATGAAAGAGCTCTAAAAACTAGTTGCTTTGCAATGTATTTTACAGAGCACAAGACAGCAAAAAGCACTGCCCTTCTAAGACTTCTGTATTTTGCCAGATACTTCTGGATTTCTGCACTTGATTACAACCTAACACAAAACTATTTATTAAAAAGGTGTAAAGGAACACAGCTTTCCTGCAAACTAACAGTGAATATTTTCTACCTTTAAGTAGTTACTTATTTAAACCTAATACTGATGTTTGTGCACATACGGTTTCCACAGTTTGCCATGGCCCAGAAATAGGCATTCATAGGTCAGCTGACCAAATGACAAACTCCTACGCATCTGTGAATGTCCTATTCAATTATTTCTTCAATCACCACTCAAGCAGAGTTGATTAGTTCCTCCTACGCTACCCACTGTACTCATTAAGACTTACACCACCTCAATCATCTTGCTGCACTGAAAATATCTGCATACTTACTTTCTCTGCCAAATTCTGAGCCTTTTAAAGTCATGATCAACATATTCATCTTAAAAAATCCAACAAGTGCTTGCATGCAGTATGCACTCAACAGATGCTTAGTGCTTTATTAACTGAACACAAATCCTTTATACTGGAGTCTGAAAACATCACTCTGAAACTCAAAGGCAAGTGGGTTGTTAAAAAAAAAAAAGAATCCAATGTACTCCTGTCTTTGAGGCAACTTGATATAATCCAAAGAACTTAGGCTTTATAATCAAGAGACTTGAACTGGGTCGCAGAGTCAGACACAGCGAGTGACTAACACGACAGACAACGGCTCCTCTGTGTCCTGACCCGAGCAAATGAAGTCTCTCTCGGTGCCAGTTGTTTACAAAGTGGGAATCAGAACTACTACAGCTGACTGTTGCTCAGAGCACACAGAAAGTGTTTAACTTTCATTTACTGGGGAGACGAAGAAAAATTAACTACAGGTCTAAGACAACAAACCTAAAACAACATTAAGTAGCTTTCCTACTTGTAGAACAGGCCAATAGCCCAAGGAGCAGACTTGATATTCATAAAATATGCTTTATTTGTAGGTACAGGGTTGCACACTTTTGTGACCCACCAACTCTATCCGGTGGTCCAGGCTTCACCACTGGGAAGGCAGACAGAGAGGCAGCCAAAGGGCTATAGCAGCAGGAGCTGTGATGTCTGGGCTCTCGCTGCGGACAGACGCCCTCATCTACGGCAGGGCTGTGAGGGATAGACGCCCTCATCTACGGCAGGGCTGTGAGGGATAGACGCCCTCATCTACAGCAGGGCTGTGAGGGATGTGAGGCCAGCTACAGCAGGGCTGTGAGGGATGTGAGGCCAGCTACAGCAGCAGGAGCTGTGATGTCTGGGCTCTCGCTGCGGGACAGACGCCCTCATCTACGGCAGGGCTGTGAGGGATAGACGCCCTCATCTACGGCAGGGCTGTGAGGGATAGACGCCCTCATCTATCGCAGGGCTGTGAGGGATGTGAGGCCAGCTACAGCAGGGCTGTGAGGGTAGCAGGAGTCTCTGTAACATAAGCATCTGGCGCCCTCAGTCGCCATACTTCTAGTAGGTCTGTTTGGGGGTAGTGGTGTGTCATTATGGTTTTAATTTGCATTTTCCTCAATGACAACATTATTTAGTATCTCTCCATGGCTTACTGGACATTTCTATATGTTCTTTTACGAAGCATCTATTAAAGGTTTTTTACTTGCCCCTTCTGGTTTTTTCTATTTTGACTGTGAAATCCACCAATTTGAAGTGTAAGATTCAATGGTTTTTCACATATGAAGACTTGTGCAACCATCACTATAGATTCAAATTTAAAATATTTTTACACACTCCCTCCCAGAAATCCCAACTTACCTGTTTTTCCTTTAGCTGCTTTTGCTTTTGATGTCACATTTAAGAAACCACTGCCAAAACCAATGTCAAAAAATTTACCCCTATGTTTTCCTCTAAGAGACTTACAGGTTTAGTTTTTACTTTTCACCTTTGACCCACTTTGAGTTATGTTTTGTATATGCTGTGAGTTATGGTAGGTCTGTTTGGTGTGTCGTGGTGTGTCATTATGCTTTTAATTTGCATTTTCCTGAATAAAAACATTATTTAGTATCTTTCCATGGCTTACCGCAAACGTATGAAATACGTTTGCATATGGTTATCCAGCTGTCCCAGCACCATTAGCTTAAAAGACCATTCTTTCCTCACTGGCATCCCTGTCAAAAAATTGATGTGAGGATTTATTTCTAGACTCTCAATTCTATTCTATTATCTCTATCTTTATTCCAGTGCCACACTTTCTTGATTATTGTAGCTTTGTAGCAAGTTTTAAAAGTGTTAGTCTTGCAATTTAATTCCTCCTTTTCAAAACTGTTTTAGCTATTCTAAGGCTCCTTGATTTTTCCATGTAAATTTTAGAATGACTTTGTCAATTTTCATAAGAAAATAAACTGGCATTTTGAGAGAGGTTTGTTAAATCTACAGATCAATTTGGGGAGCACTGTCATCTTAATAATATAAAGGCTTTAAATTCATAAATATAGGACCTTCTACCACTGTGAAGTGGCCCTTTTTTATTTTTACTAACACTTTTTTAAGTATATTTTGTCTGTTATTAGCATAGCCACTCCTGCTTTCTTGTGGTTGCTTGTTTGCATGATTTATCTCTTCCCATCCTTTTTTCTTTTTAACCTATTTATACCTCTGAATCAGAAGCTCCATATGTGGAGCTATGGGACAGACTGAAGGCAGGAGGAGAAGGGGACAACACAGGATGAGATGGTTGGATGGCATCACCGACTCAATGGACCAGTCTGAATAAACTCCAGAAGATGGTGCAGGACAGGGAAGCTGGGCGTGCTGCAGTCCATGGAGTCTCAAGGAGTTGGATGCGACTGAGCCACTGAACAACAACATGCCTCTGGATCTACTGTGTATCTACTAAAGACAGTGTATAGTTGAGTCTTTCCCCTCATCTGACAACCTCTTGTCTTTTTACTGTACCTATTAATCCATTCACATTTAATGTTATTACTGATACAATTGGATCTGTTGTTATTGTTCACTCACTCAGTTGGTCTGACTCTTTGCGACCCCATGGACTGCAGCATGCCAGGCTTCCCTGTCCATCACCAACTCCCGGAGCTTGCTCAAACTCATGTCCATCGAAACAGTGATGCCATCCAACCATCTCATCCTCTGTCGTCCCCTTCTCCTCCTGCCTTCAGTCTTGCCCACCATCAGGGTCTTTTCTAATGAGTTGGCTCTTTGCATCAAGAGGCCGAAGTACTGGGGCTTCAGCTTCATCATCAATGCTTCCAGTGAATATTCAGGACTGATTAACTTTAGGACTAACTGGTTTGATCTCCCTGCAGTCCAAGGGTCTTCCCTTGTGGCTCAGCTCATGGCTCAATAGGTAAAGAATCTGACCACAATTCGGGAGACCTGGGTTCAATCCCTGGGTTGGGAAGATTCCCTGGAGAAGGGAATGGCTACCCACTCCAGTACTCTGGCCTGGAGAAGTCCAAGGACTGTATAGTCCATGGGGTCACAAAGACTCAGACACGACTGAGCAACTTTGACTTCACTTTCACTGGAAGAACCATAGCTTTGACTAT